CCTCCACAGATCTCACTATTACGGTCAACGGTGACCTCACCCATGGCTCTTTCCTCAATAGCCTCGAGCCGTTGTAGCACTTGACGGAGTATTCGTTGTATGCCACCCATGGTAAAGTCCTGATCAAGTTCCATCAATTGTCTTTTGGACGACATGTTTAGGGATGAATAAGTGGAAGGTGTGTAGGGTTGGGAAAGAATTTTTTTAAAAATTTTTATTTTTTTTGTGGGTGTTGGTGGGAGGGGGGGGGGGGGGATCTGTTTGGGTATGGAGGATTCTAGAAACCCTACGATAAGATTAGGTTAGGTTAGCTCTGATACTAAATGATACTAGAGTTAAACCTAAACAATAATATAAAAATCATATATTATTATTGAAAGCAAATAGATGTTACAATTGAAGACACTTAAAGCTAAGAAATGACAAAGACTCAACTCTAGCTCAACTAGGGCTTAGGTCGAAAGCGGTGGTGTTGCGGGTTAAGTAGAAATATTATCTAAAGCAGTTTGGGTGGTGGAAGACAACGAGGCTTGAGGCGGCGAAGGCAGTAGGAAGGCTGCGGTAGTAAGTGTGAGGTGGCTGGAAGGGGCGGCAACAAGTTGGAGGTGGTTGGAAGAGGGCAACAGTGGGTTGGACATGGTCCAAAGGGGGCGACAACAGGTAGGAAGAGGCGGCAACAAGTTGGAGGTGGCTGGAAGAGGGCGATAGTAGGTTGGACATGGCTGGAAGAGGGCGACAACAGGTAGGACAACAAGTAGGCAGGTGGCTAGAAGGGTCGGCAACAAGCAGGAGGTGGTAGGAAGGGGGCGAGAACAAGTAGGTAGGTGGCTGAAAGGGCTTTCAGCGAGATGGAGGTGGCTGAAAGCAATGGCCGACTTGAGGAAAACATTGAAGAGGTTGTTTTTCAGGTGGTGGCAACAACTATGATGATGATGACAGTGGGGAAGGCGCGGTGGGAAGCAGAGTACGATAGATAAACATCACCTCAGAATGAGTTGCAATTTGAGCACCTTCTCGCCCATGGATACAGTTCTAAGAGGGAAAAAGTAGACGCCGATAGCGTTCTCGACAGAAAACCCAGAAAAAATGAAAACCTAAGTCAAAGCAAACACATATATGTTAAAATAATGCTTAATTGGTATTATATCTTACATCGTTAAGGGCTAATATTATGTTTTACTTCTTTCTTACTCATAATATTCTTCTATCTTTAATATATGAAATTTACATTCTCTTAATATCCTAAAATTATTAACTTACCTTTATTATCTTGAAGTCTAATTTAACCCTACATTTAGAGAAATCCTAATAGAAATAAACTTGAATAAATAAATAGTAAATAGTTATTTTTTACTTAATTTACATTTTAGTTTTGCTTTTTACTTATTGCAAAATTAACAATCTCAGTTCCCTCAAGTCTTTTTATTTTTCAACCATTTATTTCTGACGTTAATGTAATAAAGACTGAAATTAATTCTTTACGAAATATTAAATTTAAAATCATCTTATTTATCTTATATTATTTCAACCTGTCCCATTTCATTATTGTTCGACGTGCTCGATGCCTAACAAGCCATGCACAGCTACTTCGACTTGTTCATCCAGTGCCATTCGGCCTTGTGCCATCTCCCTCTACACCTCACGATTCATATCTCTCGCTGTGCTCTAACAATGTTGTACTTGTTCTTGTTTGTCACCTAAAGACGTCTTCGGCTCCTGCATAAGACCTTGTCCCTCTTTCATGGCGTTTATCGGTCCAATCTAATGTGAGTTACTCTTCTTGTCTTCATCTCTGCTTTCCCTTGCTGATCTTGCTCACAGACGAGAGATCATTTCTTGCTTGCATGCTTCACTCTTTATGTTTCTACATCGGCCAGCTTCATCTCGTTTGTCTTCTTGTCATTTTCTCGATTTCTCATGGAGCCTCTTTCACCTCACTCAAGCATTTATGTTCAAAATTTCCCTTCTGTCTTCTAATTGACATAGGTTTCATTGAACTGCCATGTCAGTTAAATTTTTTTCTTTCCTCCTATATTTTTTTTCATCTTTTTTCATTTTGCACTAGGAGGCACAACAAGATATCAAAGGTAATAGAATACTGTTGAAATATCTAATTTAAATTACAAGATTTATTGCATTTCCTGTTAAGACTTATAATAAGAAATAATTTATTCCTAGAAAAAGTATGAGGAATAAATTCTTTTCTTAATTTAAGGAGATATTTTCTTTTCATATATTAGGAATTACTTGTTTTCCTATTATCTCCTAATAATTAATATCAATTAATTATTGGGGATATCAAGTGATATATCTTTTTTTTATTATTATTTTTCTTATTATAGGATTCTTGTAAGGGTTATTTATAACCCCGTTCATATCAATGAAATTAAGCGATTCCAAAGTATTTCACCTTATTCTGCATTATTCTGAAATTTCAACATGGTATCAGAAATTAATTTCGTACTCTAACCAACGACCCTCCTTTGAAAATTGTCGGACTCCTTTCCTGCCATCCTCTGTGCAGGAAGAGAGGGACCTCCCGATTTCCTTCAAGGACCGTCGAGGCACCTTCCTACTGTGGGACCTATCCCTTGATGGCTTTCTTGCCACTGTAACTCCCTCATGTAGTCCTTTCTGTCGGTGAAATTCCCTCCTGCAGCCTTTCCTGCCGCCAGAAATTCTTGCAGACATATTTGCTACTGACTGGACCTTCGGACTTACTCCTGCAGTTGGTTCTCTCCCCTGTACCCTTTCCCGCCTTTGAACCTTCCTCATGCAGCTTTTCTCGCCGTCGGATCTACCTCAACAAATTTTTCCTTGCAGATTTTGGCCAGCTCTTCCTAAGGAAAACACTGCTCTTTCCTGCAGCATTATTGCAGCCTTCTCTGAGCACTACAGTTTTCCTGAGCACTGTTGTTGGCCCTCTGCAGCTTTCTTGCAACCTCCATGCAGTCTTCTTGCAGCTTTCCTGCAGTCTTCTTGCAGCTTTCCTGCAACCTCTCTGTAGACTTCTTGCAACTTTCATGCAATTATCAGTCAACCGGTGATTTACAAATTCATCAATGTCTCGAAATTGAGCTTAGCCCTCGTCCAGGCCACTCTCAGGCTTCGATACTCTTAAGCTTCGACATTCTCGGCTTCAGAGCTCTCAGCTTTGGCGCTCTCAGACTTCGACACTTACGATTTGAGGATTGTTGAAGTTTTTTTTTGCAAATTGATGCTACCTGTCCAGTCAGCATACCGCGACTGATGTTTTCAACTTTAAGTTGAATATGATTTTCAACTATGTTCAACTTGAGGGGGAGTGTTGAAATATTTAATTTAAATTACACGATTTATTGCGTTTCCTGTTAAAACTTATAATAGGAAATAATTTATTCATAGAAAAAATTATGAGTAATAAATTCTTTCCTTAATATAAAGAGATATTTTCTTTTCATATATTAGAAATTACTTATTTTTCTATTTTATATTATTTTATATTATTTCCTAATAATTAATATGAATTAATTTTTAGAGATATCAAGTGATATATCTTTTTTTTTTATTATTTTTACTATTATAGAATTCTTGTAAGGATTATTTATAACCCCGTTCATATCAATGAAATTAAGTGATTCTAAAGTATTTCACCTTATTCCGCATTATTCTGAAATTTCAACATATATGAATACTGAAATAACTTTATTGCTTAATTGATAGACATGAGATGTGGTGATATCTCCTTTTGGCTTCGTTCTTTGATGTGTTTGCATCATCAAATTCAATCTGGATGACTCCATTGATAGGTTTCAATCCATCTTTTTACCAAATGGTTCATTCAAGTCTTTGGAATCAACTATTCTGAGACATTTGCCCTCGTTGACTTGTTTAATTCTATTTGAATCCTCTCATCTATCTTTACTAACGAAAATTGTATTTTTACTTTAAATAGATGCTAGCAATGTATTCTTAATGACAACCACACTAAAGCCGTGTGCATGGACCCACCGCCAGTTTCTCTAAGGAGGTTAAAATATACGTGAAAGCTTTATCTGATAGTGCTTATGTTGGGGGCCATTAAAGTCAGGAAATCCGCATCTGAATATTTTATCTTTTGGCAATTTTTTTGCATGGAATAACATGAAATAAATTATAGTAGTAAGATTAAGCATTGACAAATAATATACAGTCGTTGCACTCCCCACATGTGAAATGATGGTGGTTAAGAACATTTCTAGGGAAATTGGTTTTTCAATTTCTCAAACTATGCTTTTAAATTATGGCAACCATGTTGCTATTTATATTGCTAGTTTTATTGTTTTTCATAAAAATCCAAATATATTGAGGTTGTTTGACAGTTTACTTGAGAAACACTATTCAAGTTTCCAGCTCTTAACAACTAATAAATGTTTTTACCAATGCTTTGAGTCCACATTAAGTTTTGGAACAATGTAGCAAGCAAGAGCTAATTGTTATACATGCTCTAGCTTCAGAGGAGATGTTCAAAAGTACTTTTTTGAAAAATTATTGTAAGAAAGTTATAATTATTCTATATGTGATTTTATCCTCTTAATTGAGGATTCCTTCTGCTTTGTTGCACTCCAGTTATATTCATCCTATTTACCTGCATTTGTGCATCTTTCTCTATCTATATAAATTAGGGTCATTTACATACACACAACACAATTCTTATGTATTTACATATCTATCGCCTAAACATTCATATTTACATGCATACCACTCAAATCCTTATAGTCACATAAAAAAATGTCACTATCACCATCTTTTTAAAAATGAAATATATATATATATTTTCATGACAGGTTCATGACACCAAAGTATTATGAGTGTAAATAAGAATTGTGTGATTGTGTGATATGCATGTAAATATCAAACTTTGGGTGTTAGATATGTAAATACATAAGAATTGTCTATAAATTAAGTGGATTAGTACATGTTTTTGCCATGCTTTTAAGTTCATTGCCGTCAATTCTGAAGAAATGCAGCTGTTTTGTTAGGTAGGAGCAGCCACCGAGGCAGAACTTCAGGACAGAAAACTCAGAATTGAGGACGCTAAGGGCGCTACTTTTGCTGCCATTGATGAAGGTATAACACCTGGGGGTGGAGCAACATATGTGCAGTTATCAAAGCACATTTCCAACATCATTGACCTTATTCAGGATCCAGATGAAAAGATTGGAGCTACTATAGTTGGAAAAGTATGGCATTACTTTTAACATCATGTTCGTTATGTTTTCTACGGGTATAAATGAATTGAGTCGAGCTTGAGTCATTCTTGACTAAGCTCGAGCTCGAGCTCAGGCTTAATTCTATGAGTTCTAGCCAATTCACGAGCCCGCTTGTTTATTATGAAAGAGAGAAAATAATATTAATTCATACTATTATAAAAAATGACAGATAGAATATGTATTTAGGAGATATTTAATAAGAAATTATGGCTCCGAAAATTCACGACCTCTCCCTCGGACAACTCTCTCCAATTTATTTTTTATTTTTTTTGATAGAGAGAGAGAGAAAGAGCGCTTTGGAGGGTCAAATTTTCAGAAGATAGATTAGATTGTATATAAGATATTACCTATAGATTTCGCCCTCATTTTGCGAGGACTTTTTGATATAGGGTTCGAGGTTTCCTATAGGCGCAAAAACCCCAATGGTTAATTACTTCTCCCAATAATGGAAGAACACTTTTTGATTGAGGCTAGTCATTATGAATTGATCATTTGACATATAATAACAACAGACTTGGGATTTTAAATTGTAAAATTCATCATTCGAAGCTTAAAGTTGATGGCAGGAGAATGAAGACGAAATATGATCAAGATCCCATGGTTCCGTCATCCCGGACCGTCGTGATCCCTGATTTACTTAGTCAGAGGAGTTAGTTGGCCCAACCTGATAGAAGGATTCTTGTTAGCAACTATGGGTTGCACCGTCCAATATATCATTGTAGATCTGGGGTGGATGTTCGTCTAACGGGACAAATTTACGTCGACATTATCTAACAGAAGGTTTTATGTCAATCAATTGTTCACTTATAATTCACAACTCAAATGGTAGAAAGCCGTTGGGGAACATATGCATTGTGACCGTGACCGTAATATAAAGACGCTATTTGACAAAAACCACCAAATCAGAGGGCTCTGGTCGTAACCGCTACTTTGTGGTGTCATTTGACGACAAAATCATATTGACAGAGGACTCGAGCCACTTATTTATTGACATACAATTACTTTGATTGTGAATATATTGATAAATTTGATTTTGTGAACAGGGAAAAACAGATTTAAACATAGGGAGGATTTGGGAATTACATGAGATGACAAGGACGAGCACAGAGTGGTGGTGAAGCATGCAGGATATAAGGATTGGGGGTTACCTTCCTTTCGTCTTATTCAAAATCTTTTTCTCCTTTTCACGCCGCTTGTCTCGTCATATCCTTCTTTACACTCCGATCGTGACTACTTCCCCACTGGTCGCAGCTAAAGGGAGGCGGGTTGGTCTGCTCTAAAAATTTGAGCAGGAACGGAGAAAAAGATGGGAGCTTTGATGTTCTGTATGCCGCGATTCCGTCATGCCTTCCCAAGTATAGAAGAAGAGGGACGGGGAAGGCATCGTGCTGCTTGCTCTCCAAGGGTTTGAGAGGCTCTCTTGTTTGAGAACATTGGAGAAAGACCAGATTTTTCCTGCAATCTTTCTGTCTGTCCTTTGGAGCAGTTACCAATAGATTTTAATAAGAACTAGACTAAAAATTAAGGTGGGAATAGTTATTTGTGAGCCTGAGAGTTATAAATTTAAACTTAATAACAATTTATTTTAATTTGCTTTAATTAACAACAGTTATAATTTTAATTGTTTTTCTGACATCAACAGAAATCATCTGACATAAAACATAAAATATTAAATTTTATTTATTATTAGTAATTTAAAGATAAAGTTTTGATTTTTAATATAATTTGAGTATACTTTATATTAATTCTTTTGAAACGAGTATGCTCACAAGCTAATGATTCGATTCTTGGCTAACGTGAGCTTGACTTCTTAGCTCGTTGAGTTCGGTTCATGAGCCACTCGTCGAGCAGACTCACGAGTCGGCTTGGCTTAGTTATACCCCTAATGCTATCTAATTTTCTCTCTTTGCATTGATGTGCCCTCTCATATTATCAATAGGACTTGAAGCTCAACAAAAAATAGACCTTGAATTAAAAATGGCCTTATCCACTAGGAAAGGTTAATGTATGCACTCTTACCTAGGGCTGTCAAAATGGCTCGTTGTTCGCGAACAGCTTGTGTTTGGCTCGTAAAGAAGCTCGTGTTCGGCTCGTTAATTTCGTTTGATAAGTTAATTAATTTCGTTCGATAAGTTAACAAGCCGAACATGAACTAAGATGTGTTCATTTCTTGTTCAGCTCGTTTTGGCTCGAAATACTACTCATCAAGTTTATATATATATATATAAAGTAGTATTTTAAAAAATCCTAATTGACTACAAGGCTACAAAGATTTATAATCAATTAAAATATTGATTAAGAAAATAGAATAAAAATTATTAAATTAGATTCAAATGAAGTTTTAATATAAATAATAATTTTTAAATCTTGCTCAAACCCTTATTGTCTTATGACTACATGATTAGAGTAGTTAAAAGGACTCTTTGTTTGTAAACAGCTCGTGTTTGGCTCGTTAAGCAAACGTGCCGAACACGAACGCACATTTTGAGCTCGAAATATAAACGAGCCGAACACGAGCTTACCCTTTATTTTTTGGAGCTTGATTCTACAACTCAAAGTACATTGGAGGCAATTTTACCATTTTTCATGCCCCATTTTTAAAAGAAAAAATGAATAACATCAAAAAATGGTCTGTAATGAGAAAAGTATCAAGGTAATCTTTTGATTTTTTTTTTTGCAAGGGATCATTTTAGTTCTAGAGTTTATTTTTATCATGTGTTGAAATAGTTCTCATAGAGGACTATTTCAGTCTCAATTTAAATTCCCAGGGGACTAATTTCGACACTTTTATAAACGTTACGATTAAATTGCCCCATTTTAGTCCAAAAATTTATAAAGTTACCAATTTAGTCATCAAACACTTTTAATGTGTTGAAATAGTTCCCGCAGAAGCCATTTCGGTCTCAATTTGAAGAGTTTATGGACTAATTTGACACTTCTATCTGTAATAATAAAATGCTTTTTTTATTATGTTATATTTAAAATGTTTTTTAGGAATATCTACATCAGAGCATTTCGGCTAATCATTAAAATTTGTGTGTGAAACATTCAGGCACTTCTGGTTCCGGCATCATTGATCGCGAACAATGCAGGAGTCGACGGTTCTGTCGTGGTAGAGAAGCTTCTTTCCAGTGATTGGAGAATAGGCTACAATGCCATGACCGACAACTTTGAAGATTTCATTGATTCTGGTGTTACAGATCCCTCAAGAGTTTCGAGATGTGCCCTTCAAAATGCAGCCTCCATTGCTGGAATTCTTCTCACAACCCAAGCTGTAGTGGTTGAGAAAATTAAGAAGCCTAAACCTGCTGTTCCTCTTGTTCCTGGTATCTCACCTTAACTTTCAAGAAGATATACATTCTTATGTATTTACATATCTAACACCTAAACTTCTTTTTTTACACGCATGAAATGTTGTATTTCATTTTTTAAGAGTTAAAATGGTGGCATTTTTGATGTGATATGGAAGATTTGGGTGGAATAAATTTGAAAAAAGTAAACTTTAAGTGTTATATATGTAAATATTTTGGAATTGAGTGGTATATATGTAAATGCCCCTAACTTTTATGCAATAGATATCTGAATTTGAAACACGGGAGAATTTATCAATATAATGCCTTCAAAAAGAAAGATTAGAAGAAAATTTCACTTGAATATATTGGGGCTAATAGCCATAGCTAAAGCTCGAATTCGTCTCTTAAAAATGGCTGAATTGGTCGTCCATAGAGACAATTTCAGTCAATATTAGAAGTGTGAGGACTAATTTGACATTTTACTCTTTTTTATTATTTACTAATATACCCTGTAAAAGTTTTCTCCTGTAACTTATTTTCTGTCTGAGTGAAGTAAGGCCAGATATCATCATGCAATGTACAGTAAATTAAGAACAATGTAATATTGAGTGATGCTAAATTGCTGAAGTATTATTCGGAAGATTTACATAAATACCACTCATTTCCTATATATTTGCATATCTAACACCTATACTTTAATTTTTGCATGCATGCCTCCTGACCCCTGCATGCTTGCCAAGGTGTGTTCTATTTTTTAAAAGTTAAAATGATGATATTTTTTATGTGATACGAAAGATTTGGGTATGAATATAAAAAGTAAATTTTACGTGTTATATTAATACATAAGAATTGGGAGGCATGTATGTAAATGCCCCATAACTTTATTGTTATTCATAATCGAATTGACTTGACAAGCTCTCAATCCGGGTCATGTTAAGCTTAAACTTGAGCTCGTTCAATAAAAGAGTTTGAATCTAAGCTTGAACTTAAGCTCTTGACTAATAATTAATTTAATTTTTAAGTACACACCACCTAAACTTTAAATTTCACATTTATGCCACACCTTATGCATGAAAAGTTATATTTCATGTTTTAAAAGTCAAAAAGTGATATTTTTTATGTGATATGAGAAATTTTGGCGGTATAAATGTAAAAAAAGTAAAGTTTAGGTGTTGGATTTGTAAATACGTAGGAGTAAAGTGGTATGTAAGTAAATGCCCTAATTTTTATGTTGTAATCATAGTTCATTCTGTGATTAACGAAAAAATATTACATCAGTACTTCGCACGTAGCCAATGAAATCACACAACGGCACCCTGCGCGACAGAGAAAAAAAAAAGGCGCAGTAACACGGGGAATATTCCCCCGCATGTTATTCATGTGTTATAGTGTCATGGGAATATTCCTGGTGTTATAATAACACAATAACACATGAATAACACAATAACATATGAATAACACGGGGGAGAATATTCCCCCGTGTTATTGCGCCGTTTTTCTCTTTCGGGAATATTTCCCGTGTTATTCATGTGTTATTGTGTGTTATTCATGTGTTATTGTATCCTGAGAATATTCTTGGTGTTACAATAATTCATCAATAACACATGTATAACACACAATAACACATGAATAAAACGCAATAACACATGAACAACACAGGGGGGAATATTTCCCGTGTTACTGCGCCGTTTTTTTTCCCTGTAACGCGAGTTGAGTTGTCATGACGTGATTTCATTGGTTACTCAAGTGCGTAATACTGATGTAATATTTTTTCGAGCAGGTCTCATGAAAATATAAATAAACTTTATTGAATGGAGCATAAAAGTAAAATTCAGAACAGGACAAGATATTCTCTAGCAATATATGAATGTGAGATGCAGTCCACATAAATCTCGTTTGTTTAAAATCTGATTTGCATGGGTAGCCCAAATCTTCACATTCCATTGAAATTACACATTACAAATCTATCTTCTTATGTAATTTTTTTTCTGTAAATTAATTTTTAAATCTATTTCTATATTCTTTTATTTTTTATTTTAATGAATAAATAATTTTTTTTTTAAAAAAAATACTCGAAAAAAAATTTTAGATGTGTTAGAATTTTTAAAAATGATTATAACCATCAAATATAACTTATTTCAAACTAAAATATAAATAAAATAAAATAAAATAAATGCAAAATAAAAGTACTCCCATGCTTAAACTTCCATAAGACGGTGACTGTACGTAGAGTAAGCAACCCCTCTCTTAAAAGTTATATGGAAGTGGGGCCCATTTAAAAAAAATTAAAAATTTTAAAAAAATGATTTTTATTATGTGGAGTAAAATGATTGGGGGTCGTAGGTACGGATTCCGTATTGAATAAATGCTCGAATTCTATCATTCGTTGTGCCTAATGTCATGGTTGAGTTCACACCGTTGTCCGCATGTGCGGATGCCCTCACCAAATATTTTTTTTTCGTTGGAGTCAGCGTTGCCACCCTTCGATTGTACTACTTAAACATTCATCAGCCATCATAAAATTATTTGTGCTAAAATCGGATGTAATGTCAAAAGCTTTAAAGAGGCATAAATTATATATTTTAGTGAAAATACGGTTAAATAGATATAAATATATAGAAAATTAAAGATTTAGAGAGGGCAATCTAAGTGGTGGAATCAATGGGTGGTTGGGCTAAAGCATAAAAATTGAAATGATCCAAACCAAATCATGTTAAAGTAATCTTTATACTGCTTCATGATTCTCCCTTCATAAGTGTTAGGTATGACCATAAATGATACAGATGCTGGAGCGGAGCGGAGCCCACGAGCGGGGTGGAGCGGAAGGATCTATCTAATCGGGGAGTTTCATTATGTGGGTTGGGAGTGTAGGGGCAACACCCCGCTGTTTGATAAAGAGGTAATTTAAGTAATTGCATATTGTACTATAGGGTAATATGTATGTTCTGTTTGTAACCTTAGAAGAGTCTCTGAGATCCCTGAGATTCTGAATCTTGTATTTTCTGTACTCTTTTCTGAATATTGAAAAGGGGGTCGTCACTCTGCTCCCGAGGATGTAGGCTTCTTTGCCGAACCTCGTAAATCTCTGTGAAATCTCTGTGTGTTCTTTGTGTTCTTCTGGATTTGTGTCGATTCTTATTTTTCTTCGCCCTAATTTCTCAACAATAAGATAACTGCAAATGTTTAAACTAATCTATAAAATATATAACCCGAAAGAATCAAATGGATACCAAGAATTAAAGTAGCAAATTATGGTAGATTGTAACAATAACAGCTGCAAAATCACACATCATTTCTTCTCAGACACTCCACATGAACACACAGCTGAGAGATCAGCCCAAACATCTATTTTTACAGGAGCTGATCACTGGATAAGAATATAATCAACAAAGGTATTTTTGGCAATACTTGATTTATGAGGCTCATTTTTACTTACTCTTTATTCAAAACTTCTATGATTCATAAGCCTCTCTGGCTTTCTATCCGCTTATTGAAAAGAAGAAATCCAAAGAGCAGTTTCAGTCCATTATATCCACCAACGCAAAAGCTTCATCACACATTCCCATCATAACGCACAGGTCATTGGATTTCAACCTTTCCAGTTTATTCAACACTGTAGAAGCATACTTGTAGACTGTTTGCTTGCACTGCAGAAAAAAATTAAAAGCCAAATTTGTTAGATGTTAAGGCTTTATATGCGAATTGTTAAGATGTGATGAACTTACTTGCTGCTCATTATCCTCTGCTTCTTCACAGTAGTCTATGAGGGCCTCAATTATCTTTGTCTAAGAAAATTAAAGAATGTTACAAGATGAAGTATGCAATTAAGTGTTTGTTTGGATAGATAAAAGATAAATATTTGGAATGATATAATAAGCTAGAAGTTATGACTTACCTTCATCTTGGGCTGTTTCATCTTCATGAGTAGATCTTTCACAGCTCTTCGGCATGCTATACAGTCTGTTTCATCTTTCAGCTGGAAAGAAACATCCACTCTGGAAGTTAGACATGTATGATGTTTTTGTTTGTGTGTTTCAAATTTCTCAGTAAATTATTTTTTTGGTTTTGCCTTTATTTCAATCTGGCTTTATGAATGTTTGTTCTTTATGATTTATGACTTGGGGGTGCATGAGGTGTTAAATCTATTAAGCAAAAATCTTCTCACTTAATTTTTAACTGTCACATTAGTGCTATCATTTTTCTAAATTCTTTCCTGAATTTTATCTAACCATTTGATGGTTGTATTCTCTGGCCTTATAAAATTTCTAAATCATCTTTTTTATATATTCATTTCTGATCTAATCTATCAATTAAAATTTTCATTTATTTTAACATATCTTTCTTGGATTAGAACTGTTACAATGACTCACAATTACTAGACTAAAGCAAAGGGCAAACTTGTAATTCTATCAAAGCTATTAAGGAATTATGGAAGCTTCCAATTGGTGACTGGGTCAACTTGTAGAAGACTCATTTGTTATAAATAGTGAGGGAGACTTGTAGAGAGGTGACAAAGTGAAAGCAAATTAATTGGTTAGAGAAAGAAGAGGAGAGACTTCAAGAATTGAGGAGGAGGATCTTGGAGATCTTGTATCGAGGTGATTCGAGAGAGAGATTATGACAAGATGCGAGCTCATTGATCTTGGAGATCTTGTATCGAGGTGATTCGAGAGAGAGATCATGGCAAGATGAGAGATCAAGGTGATTTGAGAGAGAGATCATGACAAGATGAGAGTTCATTGATCTTGGAAATCTTGTGTCGCGGAGATTCGAGAGAGAAATTATGGCAATATAAGAGCTCATTCCTCATTATAAAAGCTTTGTAATTTCTATTTATTGCATTAGTGGATTTGATAGTAGATTTCCCTCCGTGGATGTAGGTCCTATGGATCAAACCACGTAATTCTTGGACTTTCTTATTCTTGTTTGCGTATTATCTTTGTTGCAGTTTATCGTTTATTTTCCCTGTTTTCTTGCCTGCTGCAACTTTACTCTCCTTCGGCTGTCAAGGAGGTGTTCGACATTTATTTTTTCTTCCTATTCGGCAATCCATTTCTTGGTTTTCTTCAGGAGTTCGGTAGTCAAGCTCTTGATTTCTTGAGGTGCCAAGCGGTCCTATTTTTTCTTCAACAAGAACATTGTTACATGCAAAAAAAACATACATCAGAACATAGCTGTTAGGTATGACTCATGTACCAGATAAGGGACATATGTTGGAGCGGAACAGAGCGAGCCAGCGGAGTGGAAATATCTGTCCAATCGGGGGGAGTTTCATTATGTGGGTTGGGGTGCGGGGCAACGCCTCAACAGTACAATGCAGGGGTAATTTTGTAATTACAGATACGCCATGGTTATATATATATATATATATGAAATCTAAAGAAGTTGCCGCTCTGATTCCTAGGACGTAGGAAAATTGTCGAACCTCATTAAATCACTATGTTTTCTTCTTGATTTCTATGATTCTTGTGCTTTCTTTGCCTTAATTCCTCAACAATAGCTTATTAGCATTTTTTTCTAAAGAGTGTGGGAACAAAAATTGATACTCTTATAAACTTTAGGATTAAAATAACCCCATGCAAAGTGCAAAGTGATTATTTCACACTTCTCTTGTTAAAATTATATTCAGCAATACAGACAACAAGGTTTGCAGAGCCGAGTTTTCTATTTTTCCAGTTATCTCACCTCCATAGATGCATTATTCTCCACAATAATTTCGATTTCATCCTGCAACCTCTGCTGCTCAACACATAAACCTGTGATGTTACAAAGGCTTTTTTCATGTAAGAATCCTAGCAATGATTGTTCGGTATGACGAATCTGAATCTTCGATTGCTCCAAACACTGCCACACAACCAAATATTGTTTTTACAACGAGGAAGATGACTGATAGAGCTTACTGAAGACAAAACTCTCACCTGTGTTTCAAGCTTCTCAGGCAGAACATGACACACTTCACTTGAAAGCACATCAAATTCCTTAAACAGTTTCATGTCTTTTAATGCTCTTTCAGCTTTCCTTGAAGCCTCCAAACATGAATTGCATTTCGCATCTCCTGTCAATTTCATGATGTTCATGCAAAGAATGTACATAATTAGTTGAAGAGGTTTGAGGAATTTTGTGTAAATATTTTTGGGTTGAGGAATTATTTATAAGGCCAATTTTCATATTTTCTGTCTTTAATTCTTATATGATAGCAACATGCTTTTAGGGGCGGCCGGGATCTGTTTTGATACTTGTTTTTATTTTTATTTTAAAACAAGTTTTTTTGTATATTTTTTTATTTTTTATTTTAAAAAATAAATTGATTTGTTTTGAAAAACACTAAAAGTTGGTTTGACTCTTTTGAAAAATAACTAAACATATTTTTAAATCAAATATAAAAAGGGGCATTCACATATATGTCACACAATCCTTCGTGTATCTTGCACGAAAACTTCTACCATATTTACAGGCATAGGACTCAATTCTTTCGTATCACATCAAAAATAGTTTTAATTATCACTTTTTAATTGTCAAATCTACCTTCTCATGCATAGTTAAACGGCTGCGTGTAAATATGTAAATTTAGGTGTGAGATGCATAAATCCATACATAGAAATTTTCCAAACAAAAAAAAAAAAAAAATAGAAGTGACCCTAAAAGGCTCCTTAGGTTTTGAATGGTGCTGCTTCTAAAGCTTGTATTGTGAATGATTTGACTGGAACTGCTTATTGGTTCAATACATTTTCTTAATACATTTACATACATACACGACGTATAAATTTACATACCAAACACATTTGTTATATTTCTTACATTTATATCTCCTATCTTTCATATCACATCAAAAATATCATCATTTTATTTTTTTTACAAAGTGAAATACACTCTGCTATGCATAGAGAAAATGATATGCATGTAAAAATTGAATTTTGTTTTTGGACATGTAAATACATAGGAATAGAGTTGTCTGTCTGTAAACATCCCTTCTTTTTATTTATTTATTTATTTGAGTGTAAAATTGATGAGCTTGTGGCAGTATGGAGCTGAAATTGAAGCAGAAAAAGAAAAGAAAAGTATTGTTACCTTCAGGCATGAGCAGCATAGACTCTGCGCTATAATGCCTTGCATCAGCAAAGATTAATGAGATAAGAAGAGTGACAATTGATGAAGCCATTTTTAGATCCATCCTTACCCTGAAAGAAATCAAATATGATTCAGACTCAGATAAGCCTGAAACCAGGTATGCTGCACTTATTATTCATTCCTTTTTTTTTTTTTGTTTAATTCTTGTTTCATAGTTTCAGCTTCTTTTCAACATAAATATGAGAAATTCAATATAAATTAAAGTATGTTTGGGGCAGCTACAACTTATTAAGAAGCAGTTGTTAAGCTGTTAAAGAATAATCTAATGTTACAAAGACTATTATTATTATTATTATTATTATTTTGAAAAAGTCAGATCGTGACTAGAAACCTGCCACAACATCTAGTAAGGACATGTGAGAAAAAGGCTGATTTCAACTGCAGTTTTTTGAAAAAACTGTCAAAATACAGTTTAACCAAACGGGCAAAACTGTGGTGTAGTGCCGCACCGCCACCGCACCATCCCTCCAAACGGACTCTATATTATCATTTTGTCTTAGTGGTTGGGAGCTTTGTTTGCAACCAAAAGTCTGGAAACCAAGGCTTACAGTTTATGTATTCATGCGCGAGTAAAAGGAAGGGGAGCATTTACATATTTATACGTCTAGCACCTAAACTTTCTCTTTTATATTTATACCACTCAAACCTTTCAAATCACACGAAAAGTATCATTATTTTAACTTAAAAAAAAAAGGTGGAATACAACCTTTGGTGCATAGGTAAGACGGCATATATGTAAAATTGAAATTTAGGCGTTATATATATAAATAGATAAGAATTGAGGGATATGGATGTAAATCTTCCTTAAAAAAGGCTAAATTACTTTTGTGGGAGTTCTGAGGTGTGAATGATTGATTAGTGGGGTTTTAAAAATGATGAATTTAACATAAAAGATTAAATAGGGAAATGAGAGACAAAAACCTTAGAATCCACAAACTGTAACATGAAAAGAGAGACAATATTACCAGAAGAGACTTTGGGTTATTAATATAAATCACCAAAAGCTGGAGTGGAGTTGCGGTAGGGAAGAGGAAGTGTTGGGGAAGAAGAATATTAATAAGCCTGTTTGCTTGCATCGTGATTCCTTCTCCTACTTCTACTGAAATTTTTATTTTCATTTTCATTTTTTTCATGTGCCAAGATGAGCACACTCAATAATGCTGCAGAATACTAGAAGAATCAAAAATTACTTTTTGTTAAAAAAAATAGAAAAAAATATTACATCAGGACTCCCCGCACGTAACTCAGGACGTGCGGAGTCCAATAAAATTATGTCGTAGAGGTGAACGGCCTGGTAACACATGGAATATTTCCCTCGTGTTATTCCGTGTTATTCAGGTGTTATTGTATGTTATTCAGGTGTTATTGTGTTCTGGGAATATTCCTGGTGTTATAATAACACAATAACACTTGAATAACACGAGAGGAGTATTCCTTTATGTTATCGGGCCGATCACCCTAACTCTACGTGCGGAGTCATGTAATATTTTTTCTAAAAAAATTGGAAGATTTACATACATATCACTAATTTGCAGCGCATTTACATATCTGACGACTATATATATATATATATATATTTTTGATGTGATGAAAATTTTGAGTGGTATAAATGTAAAAAGTAAAGCTTTGATGTTATATATGTAAATAAATAGAAATTGTGCGGTATGTATGTAAATCCTAATGTTGATTTTTTTTTTAATTTTGGCATAAATAAATTCTTTTATTATTTTATTATGTAACTCTTAAAAAGTACTATAAATGATCATTCACTGATGAATAGTGGTTTCATATGTTCTTGGTTGATCATGTGGTATATTGATCAAGGTTTAATATGAAATTTTCTTTTGCAAATAGCTTGATGATTAAAATTGATTTCAATTTTACCTTTTTTTTTTGGATTTTTTGCTTCAAAACAAAATTAAAAATAAATTTGAGATATTTATGAGTTATTTGGGATCATTTTTACATTTTTTTTCCTTAAAAAAAGAGATTTTACAATAAACATTTTCATTGTTAAAAGGATTTTTTTGCAATTAGCGTGACTTAGCGAATTTTCAACTGACATCCACAAACAACTTTGATAGTTCTAATTTATCATCTCCACATGATATTATACAAAATAAGTAAACATTTCAGACGAGAAATAATTTGGACCTGACGTGAACTGTAACTGAACCTTTCATAGTCTAACAATGAAGAAAATATTAAGTCCGACATGCAGGGTGAATCACACCATGCCGCGAACGTATAACGTGGTATGATCAACACCGTCGTCTGCACTTCCGATTAACCCGATGTAAACATTCGGTTAACCAGACTTAATTTTTTGTGCTGAAAAAGAACACTGAAAAAGTATTCCAATTTGAGAGGAAATTCATAATATGAGCTACAGAGTTAGTACATTAAAATTAAGGGTCTGTTTAGGCAGCTGCAGCTTATTGAATAATCTGCTGATAAACTGATTAACAATAATCTGCTGATAAGCTAGGCGCGATAGCTATTATAAATTTTATTTTTTTTTGGAAAAATCAGACCGTAGCCAGAAAGCTGTCACCGCAACTAGACATGTGCGGTGTGAAAACGTTGTTTTCAGCGTTTTGAAAAAGCATAAGCTGTCAAAACACGGTTTACCCAAACAGGTCAGGTGCATTTTCAAAACGCTACCGCACCAAATAAACTGTCCGCTGCCCCAAACATACCCTAAGTTATCAGATGAAAGACTCTTCATCCAGAAAATATTTCAATAGGCCGCATTTACTTGCTTGAAATTAGAAAGCATACTTGCAAAACTTGGAAAATTTACATAAATACCCCGCACAATCCTTATGTATTTACTTATCTAACATATAAATTTGTTATTTACATACATAACACTTCAATGCAATAAATTTATACATGAAAAAAATGAATTTCATTTTTAAAAGCTACTAATAGTGAATTTTTTTTTAATGTGAAATTAAAAATTTGAGTGTTATGCATGTAAATAAAACAATTTAGGTGCTAGATAAATAAATATATAAAACTGAGTGGTATGAATGTAACTGGCCCTAAAAAAGATAATGAAATTTGCTAGTCTCATCATTTAGTTAGATGTAACTGAAAAGTTAAATCACATTTAAGCTCCACAAACCTCTTAAAATTCTCTCAAATAGAACATCTTAGATTTCACAGATTAAAAGTATGAAAATAAAAATTGTGCATGCGTGCACGTGTGTGCGCGCATGCACATGCACGTGCGCGCATGCACATGCACGTGCGCGCATGCACATGCACGTGCACACGTGCACATGCGTGTGAGTATGTGTGTGTGTAATATAAATCATCAAAGTTTGCTGTTTGCCTTTGGAGTTGGAAATTCCTTGGACTTTTTTTCTAGATTCCTGGATATTCGCTTTACCTCGTCCTTTGAAATTCGTCGAGGTCGGCTTAGCCACATCCCTCGGTCAACGACTATAGTAGCTCCATTAATGTATTTACCTTCTCAAAATAGCAAAACAATGTGATTAGTATAATAGTGTTAGCTCACAACTTCAAATGGTTTAGTTACATGTAATATAGTTTATTGCCCAATGACTTCATCTAACACCTTTATGAAATATATTGCTCAATCAATTGTGATGACTACTAAATGCAATAAATGATTGTAAGAATTATAATCATCAGGAGCATATATTTTATCTAAATTGTATTGAAAGCGCTAAATACTTGTGAGCTTGATAAAATATGTTCATAAATTCACGATGAATAAGAATTTTGCAACTCTATAAGAAAATTTTCGAATTTGTAATGCATCTCCTAAATAAAATTTAGGAAGATATAGATGCATACCACTTAATTCCTATGTGTTTCCATGTCTAACGACTAAACTTTAATTTGTACATATTCATGACACTTTACCTATGCAACAAAAATGTGTATTTCACTTTGTAAAAATCAAAATTTAGATGTTAGATATGTACATAAATAAGAATTGGGTAGTATGTATGTAAATGTCCCTAAAATCAATGCATCGTACACATGCTAATTTACTTGGATTTATAGTTGTCAAGATAATGGACAAAAGAGAAATACAGGGCAGAGTAAAGAGAAAGAAAACAAGTGAAGAAATTAAAAAAAATGGTGCAAAGTGAAATCTTTTCAAGAAATTTATTCATAATTTGTTACTTACTAACATTTATTCAACTATTTATAAAAATAGCTCTACAAGAAAAGTATAAACTAAATTTAAAACTCAAATTTAAATAAATTCTAGAATTACACCATTTAGTTCAACATAGGATGCGGAAATCCGGCGGCACGTCCGATTTTCTTTCCTTGTTCCAATTTATTCTGGGAATGAGAAAGAACAAATGCCAATTAACTATTACTACATTTGGACTCCCCACAGCAGTTTTTTCATTTCTATCATCAGTGTTCAGTAATTTTTCAAATTATAATTGATGAATTTCAGATTTACTTTCTTCGTCGTAATGGTTATTTTCGTTCCAGATTTTACTCTTATGTAACATGATTTTAAGTGGCCAAATTTTTGGGCCAGTAGAGTAGTTCAATAACTGTTGTATGTTTCTCTCAGCGTCTATTTCTTTAGAGTAAGTTTCTGGTTAATCATAATGGTCAACGGTTATAGAAGAACCTTAACAACAACATAAATCTAAAGAGTCTTATGGAGCACCAACCACATCGAATTACAAATTTAATGGGAAGAACCCTTTACAAATTCCTTTCTTTGTCCTCTATTAGTTAATTTCGTTCCGTGATTAAAAGAGAAATGAATGAAGGGTCATGTGAGAGGAAAATAGAAAGAACAAGAGTGACAGGAAGCAAGAGGAATCAAGAAAAGAGAAGGCAAAACTAGCAAGGGTTGAGGAACAAGTAAGGGGGAAGGGGGTGACAAAGAGGGAGAGTGTGAAATGTGAGAGTCAAGCAATTCAGTAAAGAATCAGAAGCACTAGTGACAACCATTGAAGTGATGGTGCCCTAAAAGTTCCCCCAACCCTGAGAGATTGATGCGGGGTTTTCCCTCCCCTAAATTGAATCGGGTGGCTGGAAGAAAAGGCTGAACCTTCAGCTATAGAAAGGGAGGGGTTAACCGGCCGAGGAGTGGGCTCAATAGGACTGAGTTTAGGTATTAGGGTTGCCGCCAAATAGGAGTGGGCTCCACCTCTCCTAATTATCTATTAGTTTTCATATGCTATTTTTATGTGTTTAGGTCATTTTTTGCATTTGTTTCTATTCAGGACAATCGTTGGTTGCCGGTGTTCCTCTTCTTGGGTTGGATCCGAATATGAAAATGTGCTTCGACTCTAACTCGTTCGAGGAGGGGAGTCTCCCAAGGATCGATTTGTGCTCTGGCAGTAATTTGATCTTGTGGGGATATTTATCCTCAATTTCCCTTCTCCCAAAACCTTCATCTTAGCCTCCCCATCGTTGTCTTCTTGCTGCCAGCCCTTGCAGCTGCTGTCCCCTTGCTGCCAGCCCTTCCTAGCTTGTGTCTTTTTGCCACCATCCGCTTCCAGTTGCTGTCTCCTTGGGGCCAGCCCACTCAGTTGCTGCTTCTTTGCCGCCAACCCTTTTATCTATTGTTCTTTGTTGTCAAACCACCCTAATCACCTTTGTTTACTCGACCACAACCCGCTTACAAAAGCCTTTCGTCCACCTTCAAATCAAACCCTAATTGGGTATTTGTATTGTGTGTTTGTTATTGTATTTCCTTTTCGTTGCGATCTTGTAACCACTTATTTGCTTCGAGTAATAATATTTAATTTTTCATTATAGTTTCGGTTAACTCCGATATCATCCATAGCAAGATACAAGGCTTAATTGGTTATAAAAAAAAATCACCCAAACTTTTGCAATATACTATGAAGAGACCATCGCTTCAACTACAAAACTTACACAATTCGGATCCTTCTCTTAATTATAACTAATGTAAATTGGTCTCTTCACCAACTATATGTTAATAATACATTTTTTTTAATAGTGATGTAAATGAAGAAGTCTACACGGACCTTCCTTTAGGAGCCAAATAAACTCTGAAAATTCATACTAAGTATGAAAATTAAATAAATATATTTTATGGCTTCAAACAATCATCTAGAGCGTGATACAAAAAGTTCACCAAAATCGTGCAGCCAAAAAGATTCAAATAGGCTCCCTTCTGATCACACCTACTTCAAACACAAAAATGATAAGTAACTATATTAATTATATGTGTTGATGACATCATGATTTGAAGACTTCTTGAAAAAAAGGCTAGCTAATGAGTTTGAAATCAATAATCATGGTCCGCTCAAGTACTTTCACATAATGGAGAATACTAGAAATAAATCTAGTATTATCATTTCTCGAAGAAAAATATATTCTTGTTATCTTAAAAGAAAATGGTCGTATCGGGAGCAAACTTGTTGACACTCCTTGCCCAAACAAAAAATTGAATAATCTAATTACAAATACTCAGTAGATAAGCGAAATTATCAAACATTATTTGGGTAAACTCATATATTTAAATCATACCAGATCAAACCTTACTTTTGAGGCTAGTATTATAAGTCAGTTCATACACCTTACAAATAACACCTAAATGTTGTTATATAGATACCCGAGTTATTTTTCAAAAAGAGAATCCTAATAGATAGAAGATTATAGTATTTGATTGACAAAAAATCTACATCAAGTTATTGTACGTATATAGAGATTAATAAAGTTACATGGACACATAAGAAGTAAGCTCTTGTGGTAAGGACTAGTGCGGCTGTTGAACTCGAATCATCAGCTACTAGTACTAGTGAATTAATAAGTTACTTCTCGAAAAACTCCAAGTTACTTTCAAGCGTTTTATGATATTACATTGTGACAAAAAGGTTGCTATTAGTACAGTCTACAATCCACCAATTCTGAGGCATGGCAACCTTATTGTTAAAATAAGCGATCCTTTCACTCCAACTAATAGTACCAATATTTTACTTGTACCATTTGTATTTGCTGATTCTGAAATAGTTGGGATAAGACTGATGATTTGTATTTATTTGTCCCACAAATCATCACTGTAACTAGATTTCTTCAGATATACAACAAAAAAGATGAATTAACAAATAAAAAAAAGTAAGATGCACTGCTGTCATGCTTTAGAGAAGAATATTTTTTTTCTATTAAAGTAACTTTTTGGCCTACAAGATCTATGGCCATCAAGAATGTAACGATTTTATGGACAAAAAATATACCATATCAATGCTCTAGTAATATTTAGAGTGCTTTTCATAGTTGGCTCTCCAAACCAATGTTATTCGCAAAGAAGTGGAAGCAACCATGCAGAAATATATTAACAAAATGCTTCACCAACCTGCATCCGAAGCCAGGTATAAAGCAGCCATTGCAATATCCCATTTTTCCCCCCATCTAAAAAGACGTGTGCTCTGTATTAGTTTTCTCCTCATCTCCTCCGTTGAAAGTTTTTCAACTCCAAGAGTATCTTGAATTGCTCCTGGTGCAATACCATTGACCCTAATCTCATAATCAGTGCCCCATTCTAAGGCCAAGGACCTTGTGATGCTATCAACTGCTGCCTGCCCAATATATATAACATCCAACCAAAATCAGTGTTCTGTAAAACTTTTTTGGGGCATAGGCATTCATCACCCAATTCCTATATATTTACATATCTAACACCTAAACTTCACTTTTTACATTTACACCGCTCAAACCTTTCATATCACATCCAAAATACCACCATTTTAACTTATAAACACTGAAATACACCTTTTCATATATAGGTCAGACGGTGTGAATGTAAAAATTAAAGTTTAGGAGTTAGATATGTGAATACATAGTAATTGAGCGGTATGTAAGTAAATCTTCAAAAAATAAAAAATACTACGAGCTGCCTTAGGCCATGATAGTATATAAATCTCAATTAATTGTCAAAAAATGGATTTTTTTTTATAATTTATTATTGTTATTTTGTTGGAGCTGGTGTTTTAAATGAGAGGAAATTTTAAGAACAGAGAAGATAGCAAACCTTTGCAGCGGAGGAATGAATTTGATACCATGTTGCAGTATAATGCAAAGTTGCGCTTATGTTCAAAATGAGACCACCAGTAGATGGGTCCTTCCCTTCTCCACCCTTTTGTAGAAATCTTAGAGCCTCGTGGCACATTGTAAAAGTGCCAACAGAATCAATATCCAGCACTGTGACATATACAAAGGAAAAGGGTGAAATAGTATAGTCAAGGAAGATTTACTTACATACCACTCAATTCCTATGTAATTACATATCTAATACCCAAACTTTAATTTTTACATATATGCCACCTTATCTATGAATCAAAAGGTTTATTTAACTTTTTAAAGGTTAAATAGTTATATTTCTTAGGTGTTATGAAAGATTTGGGTGATATAAATGTAAAAAGTAAAGTTTGTGTTAGATATGTGTTAGATATGTAAATACATTTAGATATGTAAATACATAGGAATTGGCTATTCTGTAAGTAAATGCCCCTATAGTTAAACCTTATGGTAATTAAGACTAATGGCTTTGCAAGCACACAATTTCATCTACTTCATCTCAAGTGAATCTAGTTGAATACTTCAAAACATAAGAGTGATTTTTAGTCAGTATGATAATGAAATAATTCCTTCGGCCAACACGCATGGCAACATCATCTGCAGCTTATTTCATGAGATTCTGATTTGATTTGATGCATGGCTAATTATAGGGTACAAAAACAGTTTCAATTTTGAAATAAAGAAAAAAATAGCTGGGAGTGAATCATATAAAGAAAATATTTAAAGATGATTCTTCAAACAAAGACTTGATATGCCGGAATTTGGAGTAACCCGTGGCAGCAGAATAGGGAAAAAAAAAAAACAATGCAAACAAAAAAGAAAAGAAAAATTTAGACATAGCACACAAATCTTCTGTATTTACATATCTAACACCCAAACTTTCATATTCACATTAATGACACTTTGTTGTCTTAAACCTATGCATGAAAAGGTGTATTTCCGTGTTAACAAGCAAGTAATTGTAGTATTTTTATATGATATTAAAGGTTCGAGTGGAATGATTAGGTGTTGAATATGTAAATACATAAGAACTGTGTGGTGCGTATGTAAATGCCCCAAAAGAGAAAAAACGAACAAGGAAAAGTCCCACCTGTCTTAAAACCTTTAGGTGATAGATCTTCCGGTGAAACAAGAAAATTGCCTGCTGCACCATTTACGAGAATATCAAGCCTTCCAAAGTGCTTAACCGTGCCATGAACAACCCTAGCAGCATCTTCTTCTTTGCGTACATCTCCCTCCATCCAAATTGCCTTAGTGCATAATGCAATAGATAATGATCATACGTTTTTGGCATATATGTCAAAAGGTTTGATTCAATAAATAATCAGGACATGCAAACTTTTAAAATAGGTAAGATAAAAAATCTCTATAAATTAATAAATCAAAGCATTATCATTTTATTTTAGAATTTTTATTTTCAATTTTACACAAAGAAAGTCAATTTTTGAAACCCAACATCATTCATGCTCCAATAAGTTTTCCAAACGTTAACATTGCAACAACGATGCTGATCCAAAAGGCATAATAAGATAAAATTTGCACATCATAGTTAGATAAAGGTTTTCCGAATTTGCACGTCATAGTATTATTTAATCAATTGAGAACACCACCACCACGTTCCTCCAATTCATATTAAAACAAAAAAAACTATAGTTTAAGAAGACAATGTCGGTAGAGTTTTATTGATATAGAATTTCCAGTACACAATCCTAATGTGCTTCCCTCATGCTTTATTATGTTTCCCTGCATGCTTATCTTTGGCCTCGCAAATTTGGCGCAATAGCCTTCAATTTATTCCTTATGATTGTTATTACATGTCAATCTTGTAGGCAATATTGTAATCATTGGTATTGTAGATGATTACATCAGTGTAAATTTAATTTTGTTTCTTTATTTGTAATCTTGGCTATGAAAATAATGTGATTTGGATAAAAGATTTTCATGAAACCTAGAGATTGTTGAGTTTATTCTTTTTTTAATAGGAAATCTTGGAGCATGTAGTAGACACTTTTTATCTTAGGGGTTGTTTGGTCAGCAGCATTAGTAGTGCATTGCATTCATAATGAAGAAATTTTTAAAATTCAGTTGTTTGTTTGGAACAAATTGAAATTCAATGTAAAATAGCTTTGCATTTGAAATTCAACTGTTAGTTCATTTTCTCTCATTTGGGGTTCGTCTGATTCGGTCGAATTCCAAAACACAACTAATGTAAAGTATTGTCCATCGTCCCATAGGTCACTACAGCTGTTGTAGCCACCCGTCTCCCCTGCTACCGTCGCCACCATCCTCTACCTCCGACGATCGACACCAGTAACTGCAACCAGCTGTCGTCAGTTACGGCAACAACCCACCTGCCACCACCACCGACAACAGCACTGCCTGCCAACCACTGCAACTGCTAGTCGTCAGAAACCACCACAGCCTATAGGGATGTAAACGAGTCGAGCTCGAGCCAACCTCAACCTGAGCTTGAGCTTGATTAATTTTATCGAGTTCGAGCTCAATCTCGAGTTTAAGTCTACGAGCCGACTTGTTTATTATAAAAGAGAAAAAGTAAAATTAATTTAAAGTAATGTTATAAAAAAATAGCATATACAATGAGCAATTAAAAGAGAAATAATAATAAATCAATTAATACAAAATACAAATATTATTTTTTAAATATTTTTATTATTTTAAAGATAAAGACTTAATATTTAGTATATTTTGACTATATTTTATATTAATATTATTTTCAATGAGTTGGCTCACGAGCTAACGAGTCGAGTCGGAATTAGCTTGAGCTTCGCTTGTTAGCTCATCGAGCTCAGTTCACAAATCACTTATCGAGCTAAGCTCAAGCCGACTCATGATTCCGCTTGACTCGCACCCATAGCAGCCCATCTGCCACCATCATCCAAAGTCGCAGCCGGAAGCCACCATTGTCGTCTTTGGCAACTACAAACCACCACCCGTCATCCACCATTACCGTCCGCCATCACCACAGCCGATGCTGATAAATGCGTTACTTTAAAATACATTATTTTTAATTTACTTCAACAAAAAAAAATTGAAGTTCATATATTTTAAAATGAACCCAATAACTCCAAAACATTTCAAATATAATATATTTCTCCTGTATCACATTCATTTTACTGTACATTATTTTTCAGCAATCCAAACCGCTCCTTGGTGAAATTTCAATTTCTTTGCAACATTGTATTTTCCTGTTGGATGTTGAACTCATCGAGTGCAACAAAAAAAACTTCAAAGTCATCTCCTTATACTACCATAAAGCCTACATCATCTTCACTTAAGCGATATATTTCCTTTATATTTTTCTTCTTAAATTGTTATTGATATTGCAAGATCCTAATTTTGTTAAAAGTTTCTACAACTAGGATTTCAATCAAAATGTAAAAATTAAAAATGCTAATTAATTTTTTTAATTCAAAATTATTGTTTTCTTCTTTAGATTAATCGATCATTACAATATCACAAAGTTTCAGTTTCCCGTACTATTGAGTTTGCATACGAAAGGTGAAGTTTTGAGAAATTAATGATCTTTGATCTTAAATTATTTTTTTGTAATATGATTTGCATTCATTGAATCACCATTAATGCATTAAAAATCCTACCCCTTAATCATCATGCAATATTCATTCTATAATTTTTCAATCATCATCAAAATTGAAGATTTATGGAAGATCGTAGTCTTTCACCAACTTAAATCAAGCTCTTCCTCACCTCCCATCCCCTTCCAAACACCCACAAAAAAGTATCTACTAATTTTGAAAAGCTATTTTGTACGATATCCTCCCGATAGCAAAATTAAGATCTTTGATCTTAAATTATTTTTTTGTAATATGATTTGCATTCATTGAATCACCATTAATGCATTAAAAATCCTACCCCTTAATCATCATGCAATATTCATTCTATAATTTTTCAATCATCATCAAAATTGAAGATTTATGGAAGATCGTAGTCTTTCACCAACTTAAATCAAGCTCTTCCTCACCTCCCATCCCCTTCCAAACACCCACAAAAAAGTATCTACTAATTTTGAAAAGCTATTTTGTACGATATCCTCCCGATAGCAAAATTAAAGCATGGCTAATTTCTTGGCATGCATAAATTATTCTCTTGCCATTTGTTCCTCCTCATAACACCCTTTCATATCTACCAAAATTACTAAATATTCACGAGCCTCCATTGGAATAAATACAACAAGCCTAAAGCCTTACCTTCCCGTACTTTACATTTATAGCAAATTCTTTCCCAAATCCCTCATAACTTTCAATAATATCTCGTATACAACAAAGAGACACGGGAGCATATGCATCAATCTTGATTGTAAATTCACTAAAACTTGAGAAACTATAAGAAGGTTTTTGAGTATTTTAATTAATTACCAACCATAATTAGTATGACTGATTTAATGATTAGGTATAAGATTTTTCATCCTCTCATGTTGTTGACTAATGAACAAGTGTAATTATGAGAATGTGTATGAACTTGTTGCCGAGCATGAAATAAAACTCACTAGTTGAGATACATGATGTTTCCTAGTTCCCAACCTCGTTGCATGTTCCCATTACTTGTCCCTCAAGTTGAATTGAATTTGTGTTATCACTAAAACCACTATCATAATGTCATATGAATCTTGCTTAAGTTGTTGCAGATGTAGTATTATGATGAATGATTGAGTCCACAGTTGAAGCCTCAAAATCCTTTTTACATACATACCACACCATTTTTATGTATTTACATGTCTAACACTTAAAAAAATCATATTTACATGCATATAACACAAATCTTTTACACCACAAATGTGAAATACAGCTTTTCGTGCTTAAGTTGCACCAAGGTCTTATGAGTGTAAATATCAAAGTTTGGGTGTTAGGTATGTAAATACATAGGTATGGAAATTTCTCCTTTCCTTTTTTTGTGAGGTGTTGAGGATTTTAATAGTTTTTATTTAATTTGGTAGAGTTTACTATATCCTGAAAGTTGAAAGGTCACATATACAAAACAAACAGACACAACTTCTCTACAACAACTTCTGTGCAGCTTTTTAATAAGCAGCAGTTGGCCCAAATAGACCCTAAAGCTTCAAATATATGTCGTTCTTCACCAAAAAAAAGAAAAAAAAAGTCAAAAAATAGGATTATACAAATTTCCGTAACTCTTTCTTCTTAAAAAGCCAGTCTACCATACGAAAAAACAGGTTATAAGAAATGAGTTAATATTCAACTCATAAGATAGTATGCAACCAAATACCAAATCCATCTCCCAAAAATAATCGGATCAGTCCTTTGAAGATTTCATAACAAAAACCTAACCCCAAAATCGTTTGTTGGCAAACTCAGGTCAGTCAGGTCAGAACTGAAGAGCCCATTGTGCCCTAAATCTGAGAAAATTTTACATCTGGAGTCTAGACGCAGCTCTGCATGCGGACTTCCAATAATATGTCGTCACGTGAAGATTATTGTGTAGTTATTGAAGTGAAACTGTGGGGGTTATTATGGGGTTATTTCAAGAGTTAATGCAGGGGGTTATTGAAGTGGAACCGTGGAAGCTATTGGGGGTTTATTGATGTGGAACCGCAGAGATTATTGAGGGATTATTGCGGGGTTAATGTAGGGGTCATTGGAGTGAAACAGCGGAGGATATTATGGGTTATTGAGGGGTTATTGCGAGGTTATTGGGATCCAATAACCCACCAATAACCCTCTCAATAACATCCGCGATTTCACTCTAACAATCTCTACAGTAATAACCTTTGCGATTCCACTCCAATAACCTCTATGATTGCACTTTAATATTTTTTTAAGTGGCCTGATATAGCACACATGTCGGCATGCTGCTGAGTCCGTCCGGCCTCCCGATGTAAATTTTTCTCCTGAAATCGAGGGCAGCAAATAAACATTTTTCTCATCACCAAATATTCGTCGCTTTTAGAGAGAAGTTAGCGATCAAATCGAGAATTCGGTCGAGTTCATGAATGCCAGAAATAGACAATATATGCAACAAAAAACTCCGATAATCAGAAACAATCCAAGTTGACAGCAAACCCCCGAAGTTACTGCCCAATCAATTTATCAGGTCGTGGATGAAAGGGAGATAGAAGAACAAGTTTGAAAGGGGACTAACTCGTATGCCCTGCGACTTGAGGGCATCGACGGCGGCTTCAAGGACTTGGGGGCGGCGGCCCATGATGGCGACAGCGGCGCCGTGCTTACCGAACTGCATCGATATCTCGAAGCAGATGCCGGATCCGCCTCCGGTCACGAGCGCCACCTTCCCCTTGAGAATATCAGCTTTGAAAGGTGATTCCATCGTCGTTCTCCGGCGAGATACTACAGGAAATGTGGACAATAGTCGGCCTGATTCCTTGAATTTATGTTTTGGGGAGGAAAGAAATATAATGACTATCTTGCTATTTACATGTTAATTTATTAAGTTATCATGGTGATTGCATGCATTGTTTATCTTCAAATTTGTTGCATGATCATTGCAAAAACTATTATTGTATATTTATTTAAGCAACACGAATCTTGTGAGTCAAATTGGTTTCATGATAATTGTAAAATTATTATTGTAAATTTAAAAATGAATTTTCTCGAGCAATAGTAAAGCGCAAATGCTAAATAGGTCATTTAAGATCCTACGGGTCAATTGTACTCGTTAATTGTATCTTTAGATTTGACAAGCTAAAGAGCTTCTTGCTGCCTTGAAAAATCCCACAAATACCTTTGAAACATGCCAGCATTCTTGTGAGTTCTTCAGAATGGGCTCGCTGAGCTTAAGTTTTCGAGTGAGCTCCTCCAATCGAGCTCACTTACATTTCCCGTAATTCTTCTTTCAAGCTCTCTTGTATTCATTGAATCCTCTTATAAAGCTTGTTATTAGTTACATGGTTGCATCATCGAGCTCGATCAGCTGTGCTTCAAGGCAGAATGAAAAGAACTTCAACTTATCGACACATGTATCATTTGCTAAAGGCATGAAAATTCACACCAATCATCTTGTCAATAACAAGTATGCTCTGACTCCGTTCTATGTGGTCTACAACCTATATTTATATTCCATTCCTTAAACCTCCGTTCTATGTGGTCTACAACCTAGATTTATATTCCATTCCTTAAACCATTGTGTGGGTACATAGGCTCTTTGACATATAAATAAAGAAAAAATGAAAGAGGAAGGATCATAACATTAACCCTTAAAAAACTCTTCTTCCGATCTTTTAAGATAATCCTTCAGCTTCTTTCATAAGGTCTCTCTCAAATAGTATGAGTTCACAAATTATACGGGATTCCACATCCGAAAATGATTCAACAATTATATTTTAATTGATTTCATGATCCAAAATTTTAAATTTTAATAATTGAATTATTGTGGTTGATTTAGATGTTATATTATTGCAAGACAAAAAGACTAATTTATTGTCAAGCCTACCTTCTTAATTCGCTTTTACATCAACAAGCTATCTTTCCTTAAATTATGTCACATTTAATTTATGATGATTTAGCATCGTTAATTTAAATGGCCTGAAAGCTTAATATTGTAAGAAATTATGTGATTTAGGCTTTATCAATTGTGCATAGACATGGTGTGCATGAGTTCAATGTACTCAACCCAAACTATATCCAATAACCTTTAAGCACTATAGTTTGGATTCAAACACTCACACACACTCTCTCATTAAATTTTAGGCAGTAGACATAAAGAGACAACAAATGTATAGAGGTCATGACAGCACCAAGGATGAAAAATGAATGACAATAAAAAAATAAAAAAACTTTGTTTGTATACGGATGCATTATTTTTTTATGTTTGCTTTATGTCTTATATATGTAATGACGATTAAGACACATTGTGCTTAAAATGAAGAACAAGGGTCAATTCAACCTTTGTTTCTAAGATCATTTGATAATGCAATATAACAATGTTTTATATAGGTTGTGAAAGGTTACGATTTTCTTTTTAAGAATAAAAGAAGTAATGTTTTATTCTCGTTGAAATTGCATGCTCATATTGATACTTAGCAAAGTGTTAACCCCCTGAGTGGAGATAATAAGAAAATGATTTGAGATGTACCATTAGACCATCATTCACCACTATCTCTCTCATGTATATCAATGTGAATCCCTATTCACTACAACAATTTGAGTTCACTCAACATTATCCATGATACTCGTATTTTAATACTTTTAAATATCAACATGGACATCTAAGATCGATTTTCTTATACAAAACATGTATACATGTGGTATATTTGAATGCAAAGAAAGTAAATTACCAATAACTCTAAATTCATCCTCATTTCAAGTTACCACCCCATTCTTCCTTGGACATGTTGAGCTCCCAGTCCCTTTATTTATTTATTGATTATCAAAAGTTTGAATGATGCAGTTAGCTAAAAATAGATGTAAAATGGTTTTAATTACTATCATTGTTTGAATCAAAATTTAAGAAGTCCATCTTCTACGAGAGTTCTTAGCTCGTTAGTCAATTCATGAGTTGAATGCCTGCAATGAATATTATTCATTTGGTAAAGGGCTTAGTTTATATATTTTATGGGTAATTCAGTGTGCTCTCATTTTATTTTACACGTACTAAACAACTATTCAAAACTTAACAATTTTCACTCATGTTTTAAATAAAATCCCAATTTTCTTAGACTGTCAACCCTAATGAAACCTTAAGCCTCATTCTATCTTCTCCATAAATCATCACAACATAAACCAATCATTCCTAGCCACTGAAATCATACCCAAATCTCGACCATATTAGAAAACTCTAACCCATATTTTTTTATATAAGGTTTACAAATATCTTTTCTTCATAGTGACCCTTTGGCCACCACCTTTCATAATTTTGGTCATGTCCCGAGTTCGAATGACGGTACATCTCGACAACGCAAGACATGAAGAAATGAAGTTAACATATTTTATATTCTCAAAAAAAGAATTGCATTGCAAGTAACAACAAAAATAAAACAATAAATATAAAATTTATTCGAAAAAAATGAGACCAACTCATACAACTAAACAAAAAATAAGAAATATAATTGAAGCAAGATAAGATGACAATAGGAAAATCTAATCCTATGGAGCCATTCCTACAAGTGGCTAAATGAGATCTCCTATATAAAAACATGAGTTTGATAAATCAAATTCAGAAAATAACTATAATTTATTCAAGCATAAATGACTAAGGAAGTGTGGCATACAATATGAATAATAAAAAGGATAATTTGTTACATATATATATATATATATA